GAAAAAATCTCCTGATCAACTCCTGATTTCGAAAAATTGGATTTGGGCACCCTGTTCAGTTCTCTTAAATCTTGATTTATAAGTTTGAATTATTTTTAAACTGAAAAAAAGCTTTTCTTATATAGCTCTGTAATGCAAGCTGTTGATTAATATTGAAATTCAAGGTTCCAAATTTTTGATTCATCGAAAAATTAAATTTTCGTTTTTTTCAAATTCGAATATTTTCTGTAAAAGATATTTTAACGATTATAAATGAAAAGAGAACACTTTTCATAATGACGCGTGCCCTAGTGGTTATAAAGACAAAGCGAAAAAAAGATACTACGTAGACAGGGATTGAACCTGAGGTTACTCGATCTCAGGTTTAATTCCTGTCTACGTAGTTCCTTTTTCTCAATTATTTTTGAGATTCCTCTGTGTGTCAAGACTGGATTCAACAGGAATTATATCGGGTCAACTTATAATTGTAATTTGTATAAAAATTCAGATGTTTCGGATAATTTTTCATATGCATATGAGCAAAGAACTCAAAAGACTCACGTTTGTAGACAGACTTTAGTTTTTCATAAATCAGTAATCCTGAAATAATTGTAAAAGCAAGATATGTTGAGTATATATGACAAATAAAAACAAAGTTCTAAAACAAGAGAAACGCTATGTTACTCAAATGCGGAAAACGAATGCTATAAACTAGCGACCTTTGTCAATTTCTTCTTTTCTCTATTTCGCACGAACGAACCAGAAAATAGCATTATCAAATGCATCAGTTTTTAACTGTACCAGTGTAACGTTAGGGAGTTTTTACAGTTACAGATAACTGTAACTGTTGCATACTTAATTATCACTGTGCATCTCAATCACTTGTTCGAAGAGTATTTCGAGTATTTCAAGTTTAATATATGAATTTAGATTCATTCAATAAATAATAATTGTTATTCATTTAAGTAATTCCTTTATATGTATTTAATAATACATTTGTTTGTTCTGGATAAAATTAGAATATGACATATGACATATCTGGAAAATATTAAAACTTTTATTTTAAACAATTAGTTCGATTAGCATAAATGAATATATATTTTATAGTCTGGATTTTATTTTAATATTTTTATTATCTTTTTTGCACGATAAAGAACTGTCATGATTTTTCTATGGTTTTTAACTTGTTTGTTTGTCGATATTGAAACATCCATTTTAAATGGATGTCAAATTCAAATCGATCATATTTATTGTCGTCCTAAATTTCGTTTATTTCATTCAACATCCTTATTATCTGATTTATCTCGAACGACCACATTAACACTAACCAATTCTTATTTAACCGGTTCTGTTGCATCAATTAATATAAAAACATTAATTATTGAAGATTATCCGTATCCAATATTTTCTGATACATTTGAATCATCATCTATTGAAATAATTCATATTGAACATACACGCTTAACTCTATTTCCTCAATGGTTATGTAAATTAAATTTAAATTTAACAACGATACAAATAGAATATTCTCAAATCATCAGTTTAAGTAAAAATGATTTTCGTTCATGTACAAATTTAACAACATTAAGAATTACCTATTCTCATTTAACACATTTTCAATTACCTTGTAACGGTTTAAGTCAATTAAGATATTTGTTTTTAAATAACAACGAATTAACAACAATTGATACGCAAGGTTTAATTCGATTATCGACATTAGATTTATCATTTAATCGCATTGTATCAATATCTTCGAACATATTTAAACAAGCGTCCCAGCTACGAATTTTAAATCTTTCCTATAATAGTCTAGAAATGTTTAATATCATGGATGAATCACATTTAAAAAATTTAAAATTTTTATATTTACAGGGTAATGTTGATCTAAAAACGCATCCAAATTGGCGTCTATTATCAAAATTAATAGTAGTAGAATTTCCATATTCCTATTTTTGTTGTGCACCAGAATTATTAAAAATAAACTATGCTGTATACGATCAAACAACAAAAGAGATGAGCAATATCTCAGAATTAGATATGTGTAAAATCAATGAAACGCTAAATATAATTAAAACAACAGACAATTACATAGAAACTCATACAACAACATACACGCAACAAGGTAAATCTACTACTTCGCATATAACAAGTGTCACATGAGTGTCCCAGAAACAGACATAGTGGAATAGAGTGAACATGTACTCCTGTCATTTCAACTATATCTCATTATATTCCGCTTATCTGTTTCCAGGATAATCATCGCACATCTCTGTATATAACCAACTAAAAAACGTAATATTATTGAAAAATAAAAATAATACACGTTTCTGGTGTTTTCAAATTTAACGCTCAGTAAAAAGTAGGAAATATTCCAATAAGTAAGCTGTATATGGCTATAGTCATGCAGGAGAAAGTTGATTTGCATTAAGGATCTCCCGGTCAGAAATCTATGCCTGTAACAACCAGTTCGATTTGCGAATGATGAGTATGTCAAAGTATGATGACGAAATTATTTTTTTGGCTCTATCTCTCCATTTAAGAGATGTCGTCCCAACGGTGGTCAAAATGGGTCAGATCAGGTTTTTGAAGCTTTACACTCATTTTAGCTGCTACAGAACACGACACAGAGGTGAAAAAATCTTGGACTTTAGTCAGGACTTGAAGCTTTTTTTGATGGACTTGAACTTGACTTGGACCTGGAGCATTTTTTATCAAGTCTGTTTGAAGTACTAGCAGTTAAAATCTATCACATTCAACAACGGATGGATAGAATTTGATATCTAATTTATTAATCTTTTTTTTGTGAAACATGCATCTAATGTATCGATAAAATTTATTTATCCGTCTTATATGATTATGATCTAATGCATAGTGCAGAAACCACTATAAACTTGGATCTGGACTTGACTTGGACTTGGAAATGATCGAGCTTGTCCACCTCTGATTTTGCCCATCGGGAATGGTGGAATGGTTTTATTACATAGGAAATGCTACCATTTGGCCATACAGAGTCACGAAGCATTTGAAATTTCGTGATACCGATTAACATGAAACATGTTTCATTAAAATACCTAAAAAGGTTCTCCGGAGATCCTTAGTTTTTCTTACTTTCCGAAATAAAACTTAAAAATCTGGCTGTGTTCGATCAAAACAACAACATTTATATACATAATCAAACCATCCTGAGCTCTCTAGCATCTAAACTGAGCTAGAATTTTTCACAACTCAGTGACGAAGAGGGAAACCAATTTTAAAATATGGCGGTGTTAGTGTATGACATAGGTTTTAGGATTCTTTAAAAAATTGTTATAACTTTTGATCATACCATCGCTCAAAGCTGGGAGATGTCAAACTTAAACCAGATTTGTTTGCTGTACAAATTAATACTATTGATAGCCTTTTTGATTTCGACATTTTACTGAAATTTTACTGAAAATTTTACTGAGCAAATTATTACCGTTTAGTAAATTATTATTTTTTACAAGGTTGGATACATGTCGACGAGTTGATTCAAAATATCATGCTGATTTTTATTTAAAAGTGATGTTAAATTAAGAAAAATGGATTTTGTCCAAACAGAATTAAGTCTGGAAAACTTGACATCGCTTCAAATTATGACTGAAAATTCCAGCATTGATTCTCGCTCTAGGAAAATGAGAAACAATTTTTGGATTACTGGAATTTTGCTACGTGAATTTCGGCAATATCGAAATTCCGAAAGACTTTCGATAGTTGCCGAAATTCTTTTGGCATTTCGACAATATTGTCAAATTTCCCCTAGAACTTCAGCAATTGTCGAAATTCTATGGGAATTCCAACAATAAAAGTTATATAACTCCGATGATCGTATTTTTTATTTGTACTCTAGCATTACTACTTGCAGAATTGCTCATAGGGTAATAATTATTATTGTTGAAATTCTTTCGGGATTTCGACAATTGCCGAAATTCTAGGGGAAATTTGACAATATTATCGAAATTCCAAAAGAATCTCGACAACTGCCGAAATTCAGGTGATGAAATTCCGGTTGGCGAAATTCCGATTCACCTAATTTTTTTGTTCTTTGCTAAAATGTCATTACCTTAACATGGTGCAAAATCTGAATTAACCTAAAACATTACATTACGAAAATTAACGAGAAAATAGTAAATTTTAGCTTGAGACTTGAATCGACTATATTGCGTGATTCTGTGTTTAGAAATCCAGTATGATACTACAATATTTAACAAATATTCTGGACATCCATTGTTCAATCGTCAAATACATTCGATATTAAAATCGAACGGTGCTTTATTTGGACAAGATGTATTAGCAACATCTGACACACATCGAATAATGTTATTTGAGTTTCAAGAATCAACAGTTTGTCGACCAATTCCTCATGCAATGACACCGTGTAGAAATTTATTTTCAAAAAATGTCATTCGTCTAGTATTTATCGTCATTGTTATCATGGCTCTAAGCTGTAATATCCTTGCTGTACTCTTAGCATTATCATCAATATTGACATCATATCATTCATGTTCAATCGCCACCGTATTAACCAGTAATCTAGCCGTATCTGATTTTTTATATTCTATTTATTTAATGAGCGTTGCTATTGTTGATTATCAATATGCTGAACAATTTTATGGAAAAGCTATTTTTTGGCAATCTTCGTCAAGTTGTAAAATAGCCGGATTTTTATATACATTCAGTAGTGTATCGTCAACATATGCACTTACTCTACTGACAATTGAGCGATTTTATACAATATTATTTTCCTTTAAACGTCAATTAACATGGCCTTACAGTATTACGATTTGTTTAATATGTTTTGGTTGGTTTTGCAGTTTTACTATTGCACTGGTGCCATTATTTGGTATGAACACGTTTCAAGATAATACATTATGTGTACCATTTCGTTTAATAACATCGCCCGATAGATATTTTGTTTTAATATTAATATCATTTGGTGTTTCTTCAACAGTGATCATTATCTATTGTTATGGTTTAATCTGTTTGAATTTGAGCTATTCTCATATTCGTACATCTAATGATTTAAAAGCCACAATAAAAATTTTAATATTAGTATCAGTAGATTTAATAAGTCGATTTCCATTATTAATTTTTCTATGTATATACATTATGGGTTATTATACCTTGACATTGGATGATATTGAAATTATCATTTTATTCGTACAACCGTTAAATACATGTTTAAATCCATTAATGTATTCAATTAATAAGACAAAATTGAAACAAGAAATGTGGAGAATATACGATTCAATATGCAATAGAATTTCATGTTTTACATTTATTAAAAGTGGTTATCAAGCAATGCGACAACAATCAATCGATGGCATAGTCGAATATAGAGCAAAAATCGAAACATAATTCATCCTGTTTAACTTCAATTATATTATCATTTTAAATGTTCAATCTAACGTTGGTAAACAGTAGATAGTATTAAAACTAATCCGCATATAAAAATCAATTTTAGTCTATAATCTGACATGAATGAATTTACAGATTCATAGACCTCAAATCCATTAATTTTCGTATATATTAGTGTTTTAAACGAACAGCAAATAAACAATTGCTATGTATGGATAACATTAAATATTCATTCATAAACTAGTCATAAGGATGTGACAAAAAGGTTTAAAGGGGATGTTGTTCGTCACTTCCTCCACAGATAATATCTTCGAACCTTAGTGCCAACAAGTCGTATACCTACCTTGTTGTGATGTACAACTTAAATCTGCGTTTAACTAGCCTTCTGTTCACAGCTGTGATTGATGATCGGCAAAGAGACAGATGACTATTTTCGAGTAGTTATTACCTTCAAGGAAATATCTTATCACTCGAAATTGACAAATGCCTTAAAAGCTTATTAAAATCCTATATCAAATAACAGTAGCCGCAAAGCAAGATATTTTTTGTTCTTCTCCAATCAGAATATTAAGACTCAAGAAGTCTTATCACACTGACTCTAGTGATAACAATAATAGTATGGGAGGAAATAATTTATTATAGTTTTTTTCTTATTATTTATAATTTGTGACAATAATAATATAGTTTTCAATTAGTCAACGCATCACACAAGTGATATAAAACCTCTTATTTGTATAATGGGATATTTTTTCTGGATTAAAAACATAAACGACAGGCATTTTTGTACAATAATATTAATTTAAAATCGACATATTTTTCCTAATGATAAAAATTCTTCACGTGATTTTGGATCTTCCCTAAAAACCCCCAACATTGAACTCGTTGTTGTCTTTGCATTTACTTTCTCAGCACCTCTCATCACCATACACATATGTCTAAAAAAGCATCTATTAATTATCGATTGGACAAATTTCTATATCTACTTACACACACTCAACAATAACAGCTACGCCACGAGGTTCAATCGCCTCAGAGATTGCCTAAATTTTTCACAAAAATACTCTAATAATTCTGTATTTTTGACTTTCTAGCTAGTGATAGATACCTCTGCAATTTGTCTAGTAAGACGTTCTTGTACTAAAATGAAATAAAATATTATAGTTTTTCTGAATAGAAGGGTCATCTAATATTCTTACCTTGTAATCGGCGACTGAATACTTCAACAATGCTAAAACATGAGAGTATTAATGTTAGTGTGGTGACTTTTGATGACATCATACTTACCGGGCTACTTTACTCAAACCAATTACACGCTTGTTTGGCAAATAGCCAACCGATACCTAAATTGTTAACAGTAGCGAAATCTCATTATATAACATATTATTGTATCTTACGTACTTTTCCAAAAAATGGTACCCTAAGAGAGAAAACAATTCTTTATAAAAACAAATAACATCTTAAGTGAAAAACACTTACATATGATGTTCACAAAGTGAATAAATATCAATATCTTTGACAACAACCATGTTTTCACATTCTTCATCAAATATAGCATCACTGACAACATCTATAAGTGCATAGTGTATGGTTTATTTCATTTGTAGAAGAAATTTGAGTTTATCCCTACCGCTAATACTTTGTTCATAACCTTTGGTAAAAAATAACATTGCTTCTGCAGCACGTTTGCTTGTCTTCAACAGACCTTTGGAGAAATATGTAAATTATATTTTTGTGTTTCGTCTGCACACTATTATTAGCATAATCCTTTGGACATCAAATACTTTTCTGATGTATAAAGTGATTATTGAATATTGTTGTGAACAATAGGAAAAATTAGTCTTCTTTTCATACCTTGTCGGGTTGGATCTTCCCCAATACTTTCAAGAATTTTTTGATAACTTTTTGTAATCTCTTCAATTCTTCGATCTCGAACGAATTTTGTATCAGCTTCTCGAAGAGCTTTTTCATCAAGTACACTCGGTCGCCGTATAAAAGTATCTGATCGATGTTCTTGTGCTGCTTTATATTCAGGATCATAGGACTTAGTTTGCGAAATCAATGGACCGCCAGTTTCATCTTAACGAACAAAAAATAAGCATTTTAAAATTTAAATTTTACAAAACACTTATGTTCTAGAAACAATAAAGGTAACGTGTGAATTTTCAGAATGGAAATCTTACAAGGAAAGGTATTCAAGTGTTTCATGTCTGTTTCTATTATTAGACTCTTCCTGAAGAAGCCTCAAAATGTCAGATATTCTGAGATCCATCATGAGATTTATAAGGAACAGGGTCGAACAATGTCAATGTGTAGAGAATATCCACTTGTCTATGTAAACAGATCAATAGAACTAACAAACAAGCTTTCGTAGAGTTGAAGAACTATCAGTAGACAAATGGGATCGAGATAAAAAGTTACAAGTGCTATAACACTACGAAAGCCTGTTTGTTAGCTCTATTGATTTGTCTACATAGACAAGTTTCGAAAACCTAAGATTTTCAATCCATGAGATCTCTTCAGGAAGAATCTAACAATAGACCAACAGATATCAGATTTATAATCTCCATCACCACTCAGATCAACATCGAACGGGTTTGTCAAAAAACATGCTGGATAACTGTACATCTCGGTGGACAATAGATTCTTTGTTCAGGATTCATTCTGAATTACAAATGTCTTGGTATTAGAAATCGAACTGCCCAATCAAAAACGACCCAATTTTTTTGGCTATTTATCTAGATTCAGCTCCATGTGCATCTGGATGTACGTGGAACTGAATCTAGATAAATAACTCAAAAAATTGGGTCGTTTTTGCTTGGGTGAGAATAGTTATCAAATGAATAATATTAAGACAGTAGAATAAGCGTTGCAAGCTTCTTTTCAGTATTTGTACTGGTATTGCTATCTTGTGAGTGTATTTCAAATGTTGATCATTACATACGTGAATCTTGACTGCGTCTCAATGCCATAAATTTGGATGCCGGGGAATTAGAGAAAAATGATGGACGGCAATGTCGACAAGATGGAGATGTTATGGGTGATGATGCAAAGGCATCATCATCAGGATTTGATGCCATTTTATAAAGGACAGTCGATAATTAATTCAAGCAAATAAATATTCACTTTAGAAACGTAATCGTTTGAATAAAAACGATGCATAAGAATGAACGAGAAATTGTTAAATGGTTTCGTCAATGTTCTTTATCATTATCATTCTCCGAGTCATATATCATAACGGGAAGAGGAAAAAATCCAAACACACAATGGTAAAAATAAATTTTGTGTCTCTTATTAGAAAAGAAGAAAAATAGCTATTGTTGAATTCCAGCGATGTTAACAAATAGAAATATGTCAAAAATCTAATGGGAAACATTATTAAACATAAAATTCTAATCACTGCGTTTCTATTTCTTTTCTGCTTTTGTTTCATCGGTTTCTTTTGTTTAACAATACATTATCATTAAAAAACCAAAAAAAAGCTTCCGTTACTGCCAGTCAGATCGTGTGATCTGCATAACAGAGAACTATAAAATTATAATAAATAAATAATCACTAACATCATCAAACCATTTTGATAAAGAAAAACTATATATGTTAAAAAAATGGGACAAAAAATCTTATCGCATGTATTGTCAGCAATTTGTAGTTTTATCGAAGTTTGAAGGCATATTTTAATATATTTCACTTGTACTATGATAATATTTCAGTTCTATCTCAGATTTGACCTTTTGCATCCGTAAATTGATTTTGACGGATACTGGTAAAACCGTATATTACGTTTCTAATTTGAAGAGAGTCTTATCAGCAAACTTTTAAGTTTAGATTTGGTTAGTTCTTTTTTACCTATGATTCTGGATTTTTTAATACCTTGTGATATTAAAATTCTGAACTATTTGAACTTACACTTGTTACGTCTTACATTGTCCATTTGCAAATGTATACACACTAATAATAAAGAGGTTTTTTTAAACTGAATAGAAATTATCGTCTGATGTCTGAAAAAACTAATAAAATTAAAATGTTAATAAAGCAACTGCACTGCATTGGATAAAAACGTTTTATCACCGCATACAAGACTTAGACGTGATCGTAAAACGAATTTCTCAATAATCACGACACGATAATGTAAATGTGTGCACCATGTGCTATCAAGGATATAAAAAACATAAATGATTTTCTATATTCACTTTATATCTGATCACAATTAATAAACTATCGTATATTTTTCGTATAACGTTTGACAAATACCCAATGTGTCACAAGATGTATCGTGACAAGTTGCCTTTAGCGCCAGCTAAAGGTCAACGGTAAAAAATCAAAAGCAGCAGTATAGGTAAAAACAAAACATACCTCAGCGCAACTACACTCATCCAGAGCAGAGAATCCTGAAATATAATTTTGCAATATTATGTCAAAATCTTTTACAAGAATCGTGGTTCAAGAATCTCATAAGATTTCACAAGATTTTTCTTGCAACAAGATTTCATAAGATCCTGTGTGAACGCATTAGAAGTGGCAAGATCTTACAAGCTTTCATAAGGTCTTATAAGAATCCATCAGAGCTTACAAGATTCTGAGCTTGATCCTGTCCTACAGTTTCCCTCTACACCTTGTTTTTCTGCAAATTCTAGCATTTGCAGGACTCTTATGCCCTCAGGCTCTATGTTTGACCATGTACTTTATAGCAATGCACTTTCTTTGTGCTCAGCTGATGTGTGAAGTTGAAGAAAAAGTGTAAGTTTTGTCGTAAGAATGATGCTGCATATATACTAGATATCATAAGAAAATTTATGTAGTAAGAATGGATCATCACCTCTTGCAAGATCATATAAGATTTTGTGACAAGAAATCATATGATCTTATGATAAGAACTAAATGTGAGTCAATATTCTCGCTGCCAAGGATTTACAAGATCAAACGATCTCTTTTCACAGGATCTTATATGATCGTGTAGGTTCTTATGAGTTGATGTTGTGAGATCTTATGACGAGAAGTTACAAGATTTTGCAGGATCTTACACGATTTTGTAAGCCCATGTAATAAGATCTTGTCACAAGACTTTATAAGACGACGGCAGACCTTGCATGACGTTGTAAGATGAATTTCACCTGGGCATTGGCCGTATTGATGATCTTCGAGACAGAGGAAAGTTTTATTGATACGATCCTTCTTTCACTCTCTCAGATACTGATGTCTTAGATTGCGTTCTTTGTGAAACATTATATCTGTAAAAAAGACTATACTCGCGTTGACTATGCAGAGCGGCACTATATGTCGTTTTATTTTGGCATCATTATTTTTGCCTAACTGAAAGTATAAACGGCATGTTGAAAGACACGGAAAGTTAATCCGATTGTATATATAACACTTAAATTTTTTTATTTCAATAAATGAAATGTTCGAGGCAAACTGTTCAACTTTACACGATTACTACCACTGAAATTGCGTTCTTCGTTTTATTTTTATTTTAAATGTCTAATATATATTTCTGCACGATTCGATTACAAAAATACTCTTACAATTTCATTCTTTCAAATAAATATTTTTCTTATTCTCTTTCTATGAACACAAAAGACTCACTATTGTATTGTCGTCATTTTATTTTTTTTAAATTGCTTGTTTCTGTTTAAACCTATACGTATTTTTTAGATTCCTAACCTTCTTACATCAATTAATTAAACAAAATGGCAGCCAAATTGAGTGACCTATATGATGAGAAAAAATCTTATGTTGTGAAAGATTCTATATGGTATTAAATATCAAGATAAACAATTATACACTGAAGTATCATTAGTTGTTATTGTTCTTCTAGGAAAGATCATATTGGTAAAATTGATACAGCAGCAAAATTTCATGGTCAAAAATGGGGCTTTTTAAATGGGCCAGTTGAAGACGTATGACAACAGACTATAATTCCATTACTCTTTATGCAGATATTATTCACACTTTATTTCACTCTTATAGTTTGTCGATCATGAACCTAATTATCATTCACCACGTTCCAATCGTAATGTATCAATGATACAAAACACAGTTGATCAACATCACTTACCAGAACAACAAGTAAGTCCATCTCCAGTACCAATTCCTTCCACCACCGCTCGACAAATTGGTTGGCGAACAGCAGATAAACAATGTAGTTTAGAAAAATACGGAAAGTATGCAAGAGGACAAGAATCTTTGCACAAGAAATTTAAATGGCCAGTTGAAGGATTCGATTGATACAAAAGTATATGGAATTAAAACTTTGTTACTAAATGTAGTTAAAATAACAAATTTGTACATTATGTAAAACAGAGGGCACTACACTGGTTACCAAACGTAATTAAAGTTACTCATTTTGATATATGAGTTATTTGTCGTATTTGCTACAAAAAGATAGACAGACTAGAAAGAGAGAGTGAATATTTTACAATGTCACTGATCGGATCTCTTTTTCATAATTCTACTGTTTTGTATTTTGCTTTCTTGTATTCTTCTCTTACGCTCTTTAGCCTAAATGCTAGCTCGAGATTATTCTTCGCTTTAAGATTTCATTCAAAATATTGATTTTATAAATAAATGTTGTCTGATTTCTCAAAAAACTATTTTAGAACCAGTAACGCTGGTGTTACTAGTAGAATATTATCATTTAATAGCTGACATATAAAGAAGAAAAATCCATTTTTTATTATCGTGTTATATATGATTTAGTTTTTTTTCTGACGTCTTAGTCTCACGCAGACGAATGTTTCTGTTTTATTGAAAAGACTAATGCAAAAAAACTTATTTACGATGTGACAAGAAGGCAAATCATTTATCAGTTTTGTCTTGCATTCCGTACATGTATAGAAATAGTAGAAGAAAATATGTTCTTCGAATTTCTTTTTTGAATACTATTATATTACAAAAGTCTATGAACACAATATAGACGAACGATATTCAGGTACCGTCACGATCTTATGCGACAGAATTTTAGCTTCTAAAGGATTTATACTCCCATCAAAACAAGGTTGACGAGTCGTGCGTCTAAGAGTAAGACGATCCGTCTTAATATAACCCATTTCTCTCTGTTTCAGACTCTTCACACTATTTCGCAACCGATTTAGGACAAATTTTTTGGTGTGACCAGAATTATGATCAAAAAGTTTTAAAACAGCTAAATTTATTACATAAGATTTAAGATCTAATAAATAGTTCATTAATTTTTGCTGAACTATAATAAATCCAACAGAGAACGACGCATTATCCACCCTAACTGTTTTAGAAGTATATGGTTTTTACATGAGTTGTCATAATTTTTTATGTTCAATTCAGTTAATAGATAAAAGAATATTCTATTCACTCTGCGTGAGTGGATGGCAAAACTAACAAAAAGAGAAGAAAACTATGCTTTGTTTTGTTAATCAAAGAAAAACCTCATTTCCTTATGCTCATCGTTTCTATCTTCAGACACTAAAGAATTGGGAAGAAACATCTGACAAAATACTATTATAGACGTGTATGTATGTGATTTTCTTTTTCATTAAAATTATTCATAAAATACATCAGGCTCTTGTGTTTACTCGACAATATCTTTTCCCGTTACTGTTATTAGTATTATTATACTGGATCTAAAATGAGAAGAAAAATAGAAGTGTTTTTAGTCTACTTATATTTTTACAAAAAGATAGTCTTATCAATTTATGTATCTACTATCATAATCGAAGAAGAAACATCGTATATTCACACTAGGTTTTAAATACCCGAAATATATTTTTGTGTTCAAAAACATTATATCTAATCATTTTTTTCTCTTTTCCATGTGAAAAAGATGAAGAAAAAATTTCACATTTATTGAAATAAACGTTAATGTTGTTGTAATAAAAAAATGCCATTTTAAACTACTTTTGATTGACCTTGATCAATTCTATAGAACTTCTGTCTTTCGTGTAATATAAGAAAGTTATATTTCTTCTACCTATAACATCAAAGTAGCAAAACAAAATAAGTTTTTAGTCTTTTCAGATTAAATGTTAGTTCTTTTTTTCTTTTCTTCCGTTTTCTTTCGTACCCATCCATTTTTTTATTACTCATTCCATTAAAATGGTCTAATAACAACATATTAATTACTTTTATCACGTGGATCCAAAAACAAACAACACAGAAAATGTGAGTATGTCTATTATTTGTATCAAATGCAAGTCTTTTTTCTTGCATTCAGTTGGAAAAAAAAAGTATTTGAGCGATGTGGAAGCTTTAGTTTAATTGAGCTCAAAACTTTTGTAAGATGCATAGAGTCTGTTACAGGGACACTATCTCTAAAGATCCCCAAAAAAGTGGAAAATCGTTTTGAAAAAGCGGACAACATACGTTTTTTTATTTCAAGTGTATTTTCTTTTCTTTTGCCAGTTACACCGATTTTTTCCACACAAGAGAGAAACATATTCACATAGCAGTACAAAATAAATTAATTTTTTAACAACAACAACATAAAAAATAAGTATAGATATTTATTGTACATGTTATCGTTTGAAATCATACTTTTTCATGGACAGAATATTTGTTCAGAATATCGCTACCATCTATTCACAGTTAGACAAGCCAAGAACTTTTTCGAATAAGTCATCGTGAAGATATTTTCGCTAAAAAACGGAATACAGTACCGTTTAAATACGATTTTTCAAAATTCCTGAAAAGCGGACAGCGGCCACTTTGCGGATAAAAGTCCAAAAAGCGGAGCAGTTAACAATCCCAATCCGTTACTACGATTTTTGCTTGTTTTCTTTGCAGATTAGCCACTGTTTTCTTGCTACGCGTTCACAAATTTCAGCTACAAAATAATGACGAGAGCAAAAGCACAAAGAAATATGATCGAAAGATAAAAAAGCTCCGTCTTATCTGGATTTGCTCTCATGAAAAAGGTTCAGTTTCAAGAGAAACTATAATTTTTTTTACATCCGCTTCATGTAAATTTATAGTGGAAGTTCTTCATCTAAACACAAATGTCTTGTTCCAATGTACTCTATAAGTTTTTCGATTTAGAATTATCTATTTAAGTTCGATATCTTTTGCTATGCTCTCTAAAAACAAATCGTCGTCTGAAAAATCCTAAAAAAGGGGTTTACGTACAGAGCAGTCTTTGCAAAACATCTCTAAGAACCATTTTAGTTTAGAAACTATTGTGAAAAACTCTTTTCCTTTTTGTAAACAGTCTAAAAAGGTATTTCATGTCCTCTATACCTGCGAAGGTTACATCTGGAAATAAAACTGAAGAAGGAGCGATTGGATCTGAAGTTAAGAAAACACCAGTTTTCCTGTATACAATCAACTTTAGACTATATGTATCTTGCCACAAAAAGCAAAGAATGAAATTTATTACAGAAAAAACACACGAGAATTTTTGTGAGATTTCGACGTATTTCGTTTCCATGCAACTTTATTTACTTATTCACGGTAGATCTGTTCTAGAGCAATGAAATGTACAAACTAACAAAACTTCTATGTTCGTCTTATTTTTTAAAATGCTTCATTTCGTTAAAGGAAATTTTTGATGAGACAGTTCATCTTCTATGTGTTTTGAAAATAATTTCCTCGCCAGAGCTAAAAATCCTGAAATATGATCTTGTAAGATCGTACAAGATCTTGTAAAATCATATGACAAGATACCACATGATTTCACACGATCTTATGAGGATTTATGTGCTAGAAATGGGTCATTATCTCTTGCAAGATCATATAAGATTTTGTGACAAGAAATCATATGATCTTATGATAAGAACTAAATGTGAGTCAACATTCTCGCTGCCAAGGATTTACAAGATCAAACGATCTCTTTTCACAGGATCTTATATGATCGTGTAGGTTCTTATGAGTTGATGTTGTGAGATCTTATGACGAGAAGTCACAAGATTTTGCAGGATCTTACACTATTTTGTAAGCCCATGTAATAAGATCTTGTCACAAGACTTTATAAGACGACGGCAGACCTTGCATGACCTCATATGAATTTCACCTGGATCAATATAAAATTATTTTGATAGAAATAAAGCATATATTATTTATTTTTAAATCTAATTTCTAGTGATTCAACTTTCTCAAACAAAATAATTATTTTTTCTAATTCTAAAAAGAATGTTTTGCTAGAACTGGAAAATGGGTTGCACATGAATTTCGTTCTCTTAGATTACAACGAATTCAACATAAATAAAACTATCGCATGGGTAATCGAGCGTAGATTTTATTTTACTTCGACAAATCTGAAGGTGTCTTTTCTTATCATGTTTTGACGATAAGAGAATATTTGGTTGAATATTTGATAATCCTTTGTGTAACCGAGTTTGCACATTCTATTAATCAGTCAAAGAATGTGTACTTTGATTCATTGTTTTATTTTTCTTAGAAAACTTCAGTCGATTTTTCCATGAGCTTTTTATTCCTTATCCTCTCAAGTGTTCGTCTTTGAAAGATTACGTTGCCCATGTCGATCGCGGCATTTTTAACAATTAATCGCGATCCTTGAAAAATCCGAAATTAATTGCGATTAATTGTTGATTTTAAGCGATTAAATAGTTATTGGTAATCACCGTTTTATTTTGCAGTAAAGTATGTATATAAGAAACACACTTTCAACGAGAAATGCACTTCTATTTAGATCATCCTTTTATTTTAGAGTAAAACGGAGTTGTCAAGAGTCTTCTATGTAGCCCCTTGGAGCTTTAAGCAGAGACGCCCATTGAACATCTGGTATCTGGGCAATATCTAAAGTCTACCCGTTGGAAATGCTCCGATTACAGCTGATCCTAAGACCGTTGCGGATTGATATATATGCCATCATACATAATAAACAATGAAAAAACAGAAAAAAATATGTATTCCCCAAGATGGGTTTGAACCTAGTATCCAGAAAAAAATGGTCAGTTAATTGCGATTCAGCGTACAATTAATCGTGTGATTTTTCACGATTAATTGCCGATTTTTATGCGATTTTTAGTACACTCAGCATAAAGAGAAAAAAAGAGCAGCACAGTCATTAGCTGACTGAAAGCAGATTTTTCTACGTAAAAACACTTTCAACTGAATCTGAATGAGTCTTGGATTTCTCTTTTATACACTTTTCTTTTTTATATATATTTTAGCCAGGTGTCTTCGGTTTTTCTCTAATCACATTATATTGAGACTTTCTTTTTAATCTCTATTCTATTCTTAAACAGAGAGAAACTTGTTCTTAAACAAAATAAGCAAGAAAACACTGAGCTTATCTT